TATATATATATATATATATATATGTGTGTCTTACTAAAAATATAAATTTATACATTCCTATTTTAATCTCAAAGTATGTTAACATTTTTACAATTATATTATATAAATTAAATACAAATGTATACATCAATATACGCAAATTCATAATCTAGATTATGAATATTATGACATAACTATTCCATAGAACACATACCATTTGAGGGACATTATGATAACTTTCATAACATATAGATGTGATATTCCTCGAACGAGATGTCTATTGTGTATATTGTGTATGCTAATGACACCAATTATTATTGTATAGTAGTATTTGTCACATACAGGATGATCAAATACAGGATAACGTCTTTTGTTGTCTTTTGTTAGGGATCATGTAATAATTATCACTATCATTATCTCTAGCAATTTTTTGAAACGACATATTTAGAACAAACTCATCAAAAATTGGGAGTTAATTTCTCCGAAGAAAATTTTTTTTAGAATTTTTTATATAATTTGTCAGAATTTTTATATCTCGAGCTATATCATTTGTAATAATTTTGACATCAAAATAAATATTTATGATAACATTTTGACATGATGACAATAATAATGGTTGTTTGCTATTTAACTGGAATAAATTTCATAACTTTTCAAAGTACTCCTGTATTTAAAAAAAATTTTTCGAATCAAATTTTTTTCACAAATGGGAACATTTTTTTAGTAATACTGAGAAAGTCTATATTTTCTGAAATTCTTTAAACATGTAAATTTTTAAATATATTCTAGAATTTATAAAATCTGAAGAAATTTACGAAGCATTTTTCGGAAATCTTTCTAAATTATATGAAATTTTTATAAAATTCTCTATATTTATAAAATATGATAAATTTCTTAAAAATATTATGAGATATTTGAATTTTTCCCTTCTATCGTTATAATTTTTAATAATATATAATTTAAGCAGTATCATCATTTGACATTGATATGAGCATTTTAATTCATGCTCTGACGAAAATTAAATCGAATATAAGGAAAAGAAAGAGTGATGGAGAAGTGTAAACGAAGCTTTTAAAAGAGGAAAATTGACACAATGAAATATAAAAAAAATATAAAAACCTTCTAAAAAGAAAAATCTAATTAAATTCTGATAATTATTAATTGCATTTATGTATAGGTATATTCATTATTATGCGTGCATGCGGGCGTTATCACAGATCTATATTAACTGGATACTATACAAGAACAAAAAATGAAATCATTGAATCTGTTCGCGTTGTTTGAAATCCCTAAACATTTTTGAACTTAAAATGAAATAGATATATATTTGGGCGTTGAAAAGAGAAAAAGCGAAAATGCTAAGTGCAAAAAATGCAAGCAACGCGAACAGAATCAATGTAAAATTTACAGTAATCTGGGCAATCCGTATATTTTCATTATTTCTTCAAGGAGTCTAATTTAAAAAGAAATGGGAGATTGCTTTGAGAATGAGCAAACCAACTTCGCAATGTATGCACATTTGTTCAAAGCATTTTACACCTCAAAACTATTTTTCAGGAGGCAAATTAACAAAATTTCTAAATTTTGTAAGTTTTAAAATAAAAATAAACAAGGATAATGAAGGGCTTTAAAGCATTTGATTGACCAATCAGAAGAAAGAATTGACCAAAGAATACTTCAAAGCATTTGCAACATTACGTTGATCATACCCTGGATGATCTAAAAGAATACACCAATAACAGCACTCATTCAATTGTTGAGTTCGCTGAACGCAGCTAGTGTCTAATTTTCAATATGGCGCCGATCATACAATTCACCTTTGCGACCATCAATTGTATACCCTGAAACAAGATAAAAATTAAAAATTATGAAAGTAAGGCACAAGGAATAAGGAATTAGGAATAAAGAATAACGATTCTAACCTATCAAAAAACAGATACAATCGCAATCATTTATATGTATACATAATTAATATTTCTAAGGAAAACTCACGCAACAATAATGCGTGACTTGTGACTTCATAATCCCCGACTTGCGGGAATTTCGCGGCGCAAGAGTTGGCGCACCTGCGCGACCGCTACTTGAAAGCAGTCAACGATCGCGCTGCATTGTGGCGATCGAATGGCCGCCTCGTCTGATGTCTGTCTGTTCTGTTCTTCTGTGATTAGTTTTACTT